CTAGGTGCTCTGTGGGCTGCGTACAACCTGGACTTTGATAGTCGTTTACAGAATGCGAAGAGCGCTCAATCCAAGCTTGTTCTCCCGCTATCACCCAGTCATCGTCTTCACTCTCTGGATGGAGGGGGAAGATCTCTGTGGCAGGAACGACAGACGCTTTGTCTTCATGTATTACAGGAGGCAAAGCCAGCGAACTCATTATGGCGAGAAAACACGCGTATCCTTGACACTCTTCCTCAGGTATGCCTGTTTTTTGAAAATGAATGGCCTTTCAGGAAACGGAATGCGTGACAAATCGTCTCACGAGCCCGTGATAACGTCCAGGTCGGACGACGTACGATGATGGAAAGCCGATCAAGATATGGAGCAGGTACGAGCTGGACGAAGGAAAGGGGAAAAATGTGCCGTAAGAAACAGTTTAAGGCGTGCGTGCCTCCCAAAGCACCATCCTCAATAGCGCATGCTCCTGTCTCGCTCGAGACGGTGACATGCACGTCTCCCCAACGAGGTCGCGAGGTAGAAGCCGACCTAAAGGATGACGTCATCGCGTTGCACAGACTGTGTGGACACGGAGCTTTACCTTCTCAAAGCTTGCAGCTTGACAATGTCTAGGATTTGGTCCGCGCAGAGGCGCGTGTATGTGGGTGTTTTCTGTCTTTGACATTTCTGGGACTGATTGTTTCTTTCAGTTTACATAAGAAGATATTGTACCGGCGATGGGGCCGGGCGGCTGTCTTCAAGGGTTCTCAACCATCAAGAAGCCTCAACTCTCCCAACAGCAACTTACCGTACCATCCTGAATAACTATCTCGACACACAGAGCCCATGGAGCGACAAAGAAGGAGAAGGGGGAATACCGGTAATTCGCTGGGCACAGCTGCAGTTTTTAGTGCTTTACTGGTAGCCTCAACAGCGATTTCCAACCCATCAACAAGGACCCAAGCACAAGCCGCACCTCACGCACGCGATAGCTCCTCTCTCTGCTCTTCCTTGCCCCATTTCCTACACACCACGCGGGGTGGGACATCCTCGATAGGCATCCGGGAAAGATGGGAAGGCCAAGATATCATGTCCACCGTCTCCAGGGCTCTCACGAGAGAAGGCCCTGAACTCAGCCTCGCCCCTATCCTTTTCATTGGCACAAGCGACGAGTCCTCTCGCGATATTCTCTTGGAGCTTTTTGAATTCACACACCCTCTCGACTCTGCTGGTTCACACGTGTTTGTGTCCCCGTTTGGTGACGCGATGGCAGGAGAGGGCGACATGGAAGGGGATCGACAAGCAATTGCCCTGGTCACCACCCTGGTTTCCAGTGAGGAGGACGCGCCCACTGGGGCATTTGCAAGAGCAGCGCAAGACGCTGCCATGGCTTTTACACAGGGAAATGACGTGGTTTGGAGTGTGGCACATGCCGACGTCCTGCGAGGCGACCTGGGCGGGACCAGCCTGTTCCAAGCCATCCTCGAGCAGTTTCTGGCCTTCGAGGAAAAAGGATTGGTGGACGTGGGAGAGGCGCCGAAAACGCTGCATTTGATAGTGACAGATGTTGGGAAAGAGGAAGCAGAAGAGCTGGGCTTGGAGAAGGAAATGGAGAGGCTGTTGACTCAGATATGGCGGAGGTTGATCGTGCCTGTAGGGAGCGCCTTGAAGGAGGAAGAGAACGAGGAGGAAGGAGTAGGTTTGTCGGCTCCAGCCTGGACCCGTCTATTAAATTTAAACGTCATATTTGCACCCTCCAAGGTGTACGCGGGGAGCGAGCGTGCCCGTGCTCTGGCATCCCTCAAAGGCGCTTTGGACGAGAAGCTGGTCAGCTCGGATCCTTTCCTCCCCGCCTCCACCCTCCGCCAGTCGATAGCCGCTTTGCTACCGGTGTCTCAAAGCTTTCTGAGCGCCTCCACGGGTCCCTCGCTGTCCCGCTCCATTCCCAAGCACGACACGCTTGTCTCGTCTTTCTACCTGGACAAGCTGGTGGTCCGCTACACGGCCCTCTTCCGTCAAGACGCGCGTCACTTATTGGAGGAATTGAACACGGGCTACGACGAAGATTTCGGCCGCACGTTTACCGAGTTGATTGAGAAATATCTGTCGGACTTTCACCAGGAGGTGTACGGGCAGGACGCGGGCCCCATCCACGCTTCTCTGGCGGGCCTGAATGCGGGCCAGGTGGCGGCGGTGGTGAGGACCAGGAAAGAGAACTTGCATCGAGCCCTGCTAGGCCTGACGGAGGAAGGCTACGTCAGACAGCTGCAATTTTTGAAGCAAATGGCACAGGAGGAGTTTCGAAAGGGCATTTCGGCTCTGAAGTATCAGTGGGAGTTGATCCCCGGTTTTGCCAAGGCAATCAAAGCGGCGAAAGCCTTGTTTGTGGACCGAGCGGGCAAGTTAGCCTGTGCTAGGAGCGGCCCCAGGTGGAAATCCATCGCCGACAAGGAGCTCAGGAGCCTGAGCAAGGTCTTAGAAACCCAGGCGGACGAGGTGATCGAGCGGACGCGGGCGAGCGGGGGCTTCGTTCCTTCCAAGCTGCGGCGGCCCATCGGCGTGCAAGTGAATTGGCTGGGGGCGAATTTCTTCCATTTTCTCCGGGACTCTTCGGTGGACCCTCTCAGCATCCGGACCGACTCCGGCGTGGCACTGTGGGAGCGCCTGGGAGAAACGTGGGCAAGCCGGGATGGGAAGGATCAGCGCGTCTCGGCCAGGTACCGGGCGGTGTACGGGGAAGATATCGACGGTTCGGTGATGGACTATCTGCTCACGAGCCCCAAGGGCGTCGGGCTCAACGACCGCGACCCGCGGATCCGCTTCGGATGGAACAAAAAGGTGGCCTATGACTTGGTCAGGAACCATGACGACATGACTTTTCAGGTTCCTCACGCGAAAGCCATTGCGTCGTACTAGTTTGGGGCGCGAAGGGGAAACCATGCCAGGGGATATGGGAGACTGTGGTGGGAGGATGGCCCTTAGCAAAGACTACCGACGGCATGTCACCCCAGACATAGGCAACACTGCCAAGCGGCAAAGCCACATGCACATCGTGTGGAAGATGACAGCCCTTTATGACAAAGAAATGATCACACGCGGGCAGGTGACCTGGAGTGCTATTGCTGGTGTCTTTGTTCTTTTCATGTACATGGTCAGGTCCCGATCTCCGCGTCATCTCTGGCTTCGAACAGTCTCAACAACCGCTTTGAATGAATAAGGTTCCGAAACCGCCAGGTCTGCCAGAACCTTGCGATTAAGTGTGATGTTTGCACGCCGCAATCCAGGGATAAAGCGGGAGTAGTTCATGCCGTACTGTTGGACAGCGGCACCAATCCGTTGAATCCAGAGGGAGCGGAATTCCCTCTTTTTAACTTTACGGTCTCGATATGCGTATTGCAATGCTTTTTCGACACGTTGCACCGCAATACGAAAGCAATTGGTCCGTCCTCGGTAGCCTTTTGCCATTTTGACGATTTTCTTATGCCGATGGTTGGCCAGGGACCGCGATGGTTGAAGAAAGGGGCCTTTCAAAAGGCAGGGGATTGAAGCAATTCCACCATACACAGCGTCAGGTTGTGAACCCGCCCGTATAGTGGCCACCGTGGCGGCGCGACGCAATACGAGACTACCCAGCCACGAAGACATCATAATGGAGGAGCAGGGCTAGAGGGCTTAGGAAAGCAGAGCAGGAGAGGGGAATGAGGAGAGAGCGGGACCCCGAGCAGGTTCAAAAAGGATAACGAGTAGTGTTTGGTTGGCATCGAGGTTGTGCACACCTTTTGGTGTGACGATCAATTGACCTGGAGTTGGCAAGATATACGTGTTGAAATTCGTCGTCGGGCGAGCCTCGCTCAAGAAACCTCAGATAACCTCCTGGCTGTTCTAATTGCAAATATTCCGGTTTTTTCCTGTCGAGACTTAAAGAAATTTCACCTTTTAAAACTTGAGTAAAAAATATTGAACAGGCACGGTGCTTGGCGTCAACACACATTTTCGTGTTTCTTGGGCTCGTGTGCCCGGTGGTTCTTTTGGCAATTCAGTGTGCCTCTTCTTGCAAATGAGCAAAGTATTTACAGAAGCCCCGCAGGCCATTCATCAAATAAATAACAACATCATCCACTCCTTCCTCTCTATATCTGTGCATCGTTCAGTGCCACACAGGTTACTGCTAAGTTGGAGCCTTGATAAGTCCGGACAAGGTCTCCTGTCCTCAAATCCCACAGTCGGGGATGGTGATCTGAGCAAGCTGTGACTAGATACGACGAGTCCGCTGAAAAAGCTGCATCCCATACCCACCGCTGATGATCTTTAAGCGTATGCTCAACTTCCCACTTTCTTACGTTCCAAAGCTTGGCGGTTTTATCTGCTGAGGTAGTGACCAAGCGTTGAGAATCAGGAGAAAAAGCACATTTCAGTAGGAATCGTGCGTGCGTTTTCACGGGCTGAACATGTGCAGGCCGGCTGAAGTAGGCATCGGGAGAGCCTTCCTGATAGTGCCAGACGTATAAATTAGCCTGATTATTTCCTGCGGCAATCAAAGATGCGTCATTCGCAACTGAGACAGAGCGTACGGGGACGCTACCTTCAGGGAGTGTCTCATGCACACAGCGGTTGCTTCCTAAATCCCATACTCGAACGCGACCTTCTTGATCTCCCGTGACAAGCTCCGCTTGATTAGGATGCAGTACTACAGAGTTGACTGCCACCATTGAGGTATGATGGTGCCCGCTTCCACTGGCCCCGCCCGCTCCGCCTCCCCCCCCACTGCTGCTAGAGCTTGTCGCGGTTGAGTTCTCCAACGTTCGCTGACATCCAGAAGCTCTAATATCCCATAATTTGACGGTCCCATCCTCGGAAGCTGTGTACAGCCATTTGCCGTCCTGCTGAAACCCAACCGCCATGACATTTCCCACATGTCCTTCGTAGCTAACCACTGGGTTGGGATTGGCATTTCCACCTACCTCAAATAGCCGTACGTGAGGGTTCCCACCTGCTGCCAGGAATTGTTTATCGGGCGTGATTTGAAGGCAATTGACCTGCGAGTCGGGATAACGAATAGAGCGGGCACAGACACCCGTAGGAGCCTCCCAGAATCGGATCTTATGATCGTAGCCTGCGGTTGCCAGGACCACGGCCGATGACATTTCTCAAGCAGGATAAGGTGTCCTTTAATATTTGTGTCGGTGGGCGTAGAAAAATTGGGGTCCGGCGGTGTCAATGCAGATTAATACGGGCATCAGAGCCGCAGATCTGAAGTCTACACCCGCGCTCGAGCCTGGGTACACCATGGATATGTTGAGTGGTATATGACATAGGAGTAAGAACGCCACATATGTCAAATAAAATGCAAACGTCGCGACGTGCCATGCGAGTCTGCATCTGCGCACGTAGTCATATAATAGGTATGTGACGGCCTAATTGTTCCCTTTTCCATCACAACCACCCAACACGGCACTCTCCCTTTTCAAATCTTTCCACCGAAAATAATCTCGAAAGGAGAACCGCCCTTCGTAGTACAGGATAGCGTTATGATATGTCAAAATTGAAATGTCCTCATGTCGTCGACGTGATTGTCCACGGTTAGGGTAAATGGGAACACGAGGTATTTCAAATCGCCGGCATCGCCCATGCACCGTTGCCGCTACCTAGAAGGGCTTATGGGCGAGTCGACAATATTACCTTCCTCAAGGCATGCAACTGACTACAATCGTGTAATTGATATCCAGATAGTACACTCAGGTGCTAGGAATCTTTCCAACAGGAGGCGAGGCTCTGACGCTCTCGTACCAGCGTCTTGGAGCATTCCCTAGGCAACCTTGATAGCAGTACGATTCTTCAGGAAATAAGAGCAAAGACGTAACAAGACCAATTACTTTACCCACACTTTCTGCGGAGCACACCATGATATCGCCTAACATATCTCCAAAAGATTTGACGCTTTACGAGAGATTGCGGCGACTTGATTATCATCCCAAGACAAAAGATGATTTCAAAGTCCGGACGGCTTACGGCGGGGCCACGTCGGTCGTAGCGTTAGCCTGTATGATATTTCTTTTCTTCACGGAGCTCAAGTATTCCATGGAGAAGGAGATTGTGGACCATATGTACGTCAATTCCTCCCGGGATACCCGCCTTTTGTTCAATTTTAATCTGACCTTTCCGTCCGTGTCGTGCTCACTTTTGAGTGCCGACGCCTTGGACCCTTTGGGTAACAAGCAAGAGGGAGTGGAAAGCCACGTATTCAAGACTCGTCTCGACTCGATGGGGAATCCGATCGCTGCCAAGACATGGCATAAGCTTGGGGACACTTTCACGGAGGAAGACTTGTTGCTGAAACATGAGGAAGATAGCAGAGCTCAACTCGAGGAGGAAGAGGAGCAGGAGGAGAAGTTGGGGGAAGAAGGAGATGGACAACAAGTTGGAGAGGATGGAAAGCCGAGAGGACGAAACTTGAAACGGCGAAAGTGCGGGGACTGCTACGGCGCCGGGGAGCCCGGACAATGCTGCAACACATGTGCCGAAGTCAAGCAGGCCTATGACTCCAAGGGGTGGGCGTTCATAGGCTTAAATGTAGAGCAATGCAAGCAAGAGAATCTGCAAGTTTCATTTGGAGACGGGGCGGAGGAGGGCTGCAATATTCACGGATCTTTGCTGCTAACGCACGACAGTGGCAACGTGCATTTCGCCCCGGGCGAGCAACTGCGGCAGTCGGGGGCATTGAATGTCGCCGATTTAGTGACGTTTACATTCTTACAATTCAATGTCTCCCATGAAATTCACCATCTTTCCCTTGGCGAAGAGTTCCCAGGATTCCGCTCACCGCTTAGTAACCAAAAACGGAGCGTCGCGGACGGCTACGGGATGTACCAATATTACTTGAAGGTGGTGCCCACTATTTACAAGCATTTGAGTCAACCTCCTACAGTTTCCAATCAATACGCAGTCTCGGAGCACATTCGGCATATAAATCCGGGAAGCAATCGAGGGCTACCTGGGGTGTGGTTTTTCTACGACACCTCACCCGTGCATGTGGAATTCCAAGAGCGGCGGAAAGGGCTTTTACCATTTTTAACCAGCGTCTGTGCCATTGTTGGCGGCGTGTTTTCCGTTTTTGGGGTCGTCGATGGAGTGGTTCATAACTTGATGAAAAACGGGTTGCCTACTGGGAAGATGGGAGGGGCTCCGGGAAGTTAAAGACTCTTGACACAACAAGAAAGAAAATGGAAGGTAGCATTTAGAGTTGTGTATGAAAGATATAAAGAGAGTACACGGACCTGATAAGTGGATCGTTGCGTCATGCAAAGCGAAGGGGGCGGTAGCAAAGCGCAAGGCAAGGCAAGCGGGTCTTACCAGTCCGTGGGTCATGCGTTCTTGGGAAAGAAAAATACATGCAGTGAAACCATAAAATGGATAAAACTTCGCGATAAAACATTGGTTTTCATGTCCGAAGGACATCCATGGTCAGGAAAGTACGCGTCCAGTCGCAATTAATTCTCACAAATTTTGAATGCATATTTTGAGACCGGGAGGTTATGCGACCTGTAAACATTGCAGCCCGAGCGCCATTCACAATATGCATCCTTGCGCGCCATAAATCGAACCTTTGCAGACCTTTTCATTGAAGTTTCTCAAAATTAACATCGAAGAAGCGAGAAAGGGAGGTTGACATCGACTTCGGCCCATACTTAACATATCTTGCTTCCTCTCCTGTAGAATATCCTCAAGGATTATTTCTCACATTTTTGATTTCAACTTCTTCACTGTATGACATGTACAATACATTTAGAATTTATGGAAGCTGGAAGCAGAAGAGAAGATCAGGTATTCACGAAACCGAGCAAGATACTTGTTGAGGTCTAGACGATGCGCGGATTTCTCTTCGTGTGTCCTTTGTGGACAACCTGCCTGCTGTATGTTTCGTGCCTCATCCATGTCAATGTTGAAGGTTTTAAACTCTTCCCAACTGCAGTATCGATATCTTTCAAGGCTGCCCCAAAACATAGAAGTGTCGGCATCATCGCGAGCAGCAGCCCCAATATTGAAACTACCACCAACCATACCGCCAGGAAAGTCCTTGTCATTGGTAGTGGCGGTCGTGAGTTTGCATTGACACAAGCTTTGCTACGTCTTTCTTCTCCTGAAGCAATCTATGTGGCTCCCGGGAATGCCGGCACGCAGCAGCTTTCTCCGCCAGTGGTCGTCAATGTCCCCGAACTCAAACCTAACGATTTCAAAGGGATCACGGATTTTGCTCAAAAGCATGGGATTGAGATAGTAGTGGTAGGTCCTGAAGACCCCTTAACGAATGGCTTGCAGGATTTTTTGCGGGAGTCAAACATTCCTTGCTTCGGACCCAGTGCTGCGGCGGCTCGATTGGAAGGAAGCAAGGCTTGGGCTAAAGCCTTCATGAACCGCCACCAGATTCCCACGGCGAGACACGCGACTTTCTCCGACCTTACCGCTGCCCTAGAGTACGTAGAGCATCAAACATTGCCGATGGTGGTAAAGGCATCGGGACTGGCTGGAGGAAAAGGTGTGACGATAGCCCACTCCCGGGAGGACGCCAGGAAGGCCTTGGAGGCGATCATGGGGACGACCCCTGTCTTTGGCCCGGCCGCCGGGGCGGAGGTAGTGATCGAGGAGTATTTGGTAGGCGATGAGGTGTCGGCCATCGCGTTTTGTGACGGGGACAGCGTGGCGGCCTGTCTTCCCTTCGCGCGTGACTACAAGCGGCTGGAGGAGCACGACTCGGGCCCAAACACGGGAGGAATGGGCTCCTTTGCGCCCGTGACTGACTTGACTACAGACATCGCTGCTAGCATACAGAACATTTTAGTCACAACCGTGAAGGGAATGAGGGAGGAGGGACACCCTTATCATGGCGTTCTGTACGGCGGTCTCATCATCACGAAGGGAGGCGCAGCGGACGACGGGAGGGAAGAGGTGAAGGTGCTGGAGTTCAACTGTCGCTTTGGGGATCCAGAGGCGCAGTCAATTCTACCATTATTGTCGGATAAAGTTGATTTGGCCAAGCTCATGCTGCAATGTGCGCAAGGAGGCCGATTCGGCGACACAACTGGCAGGCTCGCCGCGAGCACCCCTAGGGACTTGACGACGAAGAATAATACTTTTGCTGCCACAGTCATAGCCGCCTCCGAGGGCTATCCCACAGCCACGGGATCCATAAAACCTCACATTATCCACGGGCTGCCGCTGGCTTGTCGCGTCCCTGGGGTTTGTAGCGTGGCGCAAGCAGGAACCGCCCGCCTGGTCTTGGCCAATGGAGCACGGGTCGTTACCGTGTCAGGCGGGCGCGTACTGGGAGTGACAGGGGAAGCAACAACGCTGCGCCTAGCGCTCCTGCATGCATATCATGGCTTGAGTGAGATCCGCTTTCAAGGAATGCGGTGCAGGACGGATATTGGCGCCCAAGCCGTGAGGTCTCAGCCTGTGCGCGTCGCGATATTAGGTTCTTCGAGAGGTACGAGTGTCTCCAAGATACTAACGGGCAAGCGAGGGGTGTTCGAAGTGGTATTGGTCATGTCGGATACACAAGACGCAAATGGGATACTGTCAAAAGCTCAAGCGGCCCATGTACCCGATTGCCGTTTTCTTGGCGCGGACACTGGGGGGAATGGAGACTCGGAGATGGCACGGGATACTCTGGAGGAAAAAGTTGAGGTTGCCATGGAGGAGTCTAAGGCAGAAATCCTCCTCTTAAATGGATACAGGCGTATATTATCCCCGCGCTTGTGTCGCGTACTGAGAGGCCGTTGCTTAAACATCCATCCTTCCCTGCTGCCAGACTTTGGTGGACATTTCGATTTAGCGGTACATCAAGCTGTTTTGGACGCAGGACGAACAAGCAGTGGGTGCTCTGTCCATTTTGTGACTGAAAATGTCGACCAAGGACCTGTCTTGATACAAAAAACGTGCTCGGTAGAACCTGGATTCGATACTGCAGCCACACTCAAGGCGAAGGTCCAGGAGTTGGAGGAGAGAGCCTGGGAGGAAGCTGTAAGAGTTTACCAAGAGGATCTGCCCCGTATTACGCGCGCCATTCTATCCATGAGTGATCCAAAGACGTTTTGATGTCATCGCACGCTTGCGTCACGGTCGGCACGGTATAAAAAGTTCTTCAATACGT